ATAAAATTATTTTTGAAAAAAATATATCAAATACAATAAGCAGAAATAAATATGTAGAGCAACACTTTTGTATACGTGTAACGTAGGCATGTGTAGAAGATGTAACATTAATAAAAGTAGGCAAATTTTATTTCGATACTTTGTCGCTTGTATTCAATGATGAAAGAAAAATGATACACCGGTTCATAAAATTTTATTCTTTTTTCCTATTGGTTGATTTTTCTGTTGTTTTCAGCTCCTGTCATTTTCCAAATTAACTTCTCCAACCCTAAAAGTTGAAAAACAATATGGTGCATTTATCTTTTTTTCAATTTTAAAATTATTATTATTATTATTATTATCATCATCATCATTATTATTTTTATTATTATTATTATTAATGATTAATGTTAGTCGCGAGTGATAATTGTAGCAAATTATAGTTGTGATGACTAATTAAATAATATAAATTTGCTTAACCGCGTAATTTCTCCTTATTATTATGCATGTCTTCTAGAAGCTGATAAAATAAAATACTGAAGAAAAAAAGAATCAACGAGAAAAAAACCGGAATTATTTTTAGCAACTTGTGTTTATTGTGGAGTAAGAATATTAAATAAAAAGGGGAAGAAAGCTAATGAATTAATAAGGATAAGGAATTTAATAATCCTGAGTTGAATATTGATGGGAATAATTGATTAGGGTTGGCGATCAGTACCTAGCGCATTCAAGTTTCACAACAGAAAGAAGCAAATATTGTAACTTATTCAATCTGTACCAAAAAATAATAATATTACTTATATTCATTTCGAATTATTTGTCGTGGTTTTTAAAAATAGTTATCTCAAATTATCTATCATTGGACCCTTTAGTAATTGCTTTTGAAGACTAGGCACACTTAAATTATGGGTTGATGATACATAAATAGAGTAAATATTCAATAAAATGAGATTATATCTTAAGATATAAATAAGGATAAGATAGTTAAAATCCTTCTTTATAAATAATTACTTCCTCGGACTTCTACTTATATATCCCCTATTTTAAAAATAGATTTTTACTTTCATATGTTACTTTAAACATATAAAATAAGATATATTTTTTTCTCCATATTGTTTTACCTTTGACATTAATTATTTATCCTGAATAATTTCTAAGATTTAATACTACATATAAATCCATAAGGGGAATATGGTAAAATCTTTCTATATATCAAGTAAAAATAAACGAAAATAATACTATTTTTTAAGAAGTGTGTAAAAGATAATTTGTAACGGGAGAGTAATTAGCTTCTCAGAGCTCAGAAAAATTATGCATCATAAATATTTCATCAATTAAGTCAATGGTAGAGAGTTGGTGGACTTGTTGATAACTTATTCGTCGCACAAAAATATTTACCACTTGTACGATTTGTTGTTGGTCAAAATAATTACTACTCCTATAACAATGGAAGACAAGTTTTTTTCTTTTGAGAAAATTTATTTATGTTTCAATTTGGTAATTATAAGCTCTTTAAGCAAGTATTATTTTAATCCAAAAACCATACTACCATACAGTATTGACAAGTGTTTTAAGTAGAAAAACTTTTTTTTTTATTCAGTGAATATTATCTAGTCATATGGCCAGCTTCTATATGGTCCAATTTTTGCAATTTGAAATTTTATCACAACAAAAATACAGAAATAGGAATATTACAATTAGAAACACTATTGTGGACTACGACAAGTCAACATGGTGTTTAAATGAGACACACTTAATTAGTCATCTCTATATACAGTTTTTTCTTTAATTCTTTCTTTTGATTCAGTGGTTCAAATCTGAATATACATTTTTAAATTTAACCAAATAGTACCGGAAATGGAAGGAATAAAAGAAATTAAGGTTGGACCAGCACTTTAGAGTTTAGGTAATTTATTTGGCTAAATATTGAAGAGCAAATAATTAAGGTAATCAAATTACATACACGTGTCACTCAAACATATGCGCCACTAATAATTGTACTTAAAAAAAATACTTAATAGATAGTACTTTTAAGTTTTAAGTAAAGAGGAGCTACTTTTTAACCAAATAATTACTCAAATGAAGTGCTTTATTTAACTACCATATTACCAGCAACGGAAGGAGTTGCTCCTAGAGGTCTCGGGATGGAGCTTTGGATATGGAAAAATTCTTAATAGAGAGTGCTCCCCTACGAATGAGATCCTAACACAAATTCAAAATAGTCGAATTCCTATACACATATCGAACAAAACCAAAAATGAAAAGGTACCCTATTCTTAATTAGAAGCAACCATAAAGCTATTTAGGTACTTAAATTGTTTTTTCTTTTTCTCGACTTTTATTACCAAATGGCGTCCAAAATAGATAAATCATATCCACCACAAATGTACTACTATTGTATTGTACTAACTAATAAAAGCAAAACCAAGTTTAAAATAAATAACAACAATTAAATAGGGTATGAGTTTTATTTTTGTACCATACCATGGGAACTATATGCCCCAAAAACAATTAATTGTCACTAATCATTGCATTTATTTTTTTTAATAAAAATCAAGTTTAAAATAAATAATAACAATTAAATAGGTAGGATCTGAGTTTTATTTTTGTACCATACCATGGGAACTATATGCTCCAAAAACAATTAATTGTAACAAATCATTGCATTTTTTTTTAAATAAAAAAAAGGTGGATATTATATTGTTAGCTCAATAGATTAATGGGTAGCTGTAGAGAATTAAATACTGGGAGGGTAGTGGTCACAACCCCAACTTACAACTACCCAACTGTCTACATTTTGCTTCAATCTGTAATTAACCTTGATTGCAATTAATGGTAATCTGTCATTATCAAACCTTGACATATAATTTAGTCTTATTTGAGGGCCAAAATGCTTTGAATATCAAATTTTATAAATAGGAAAGTAACTTGACGTTATCTTCTCCAATATACTGAAAAATCAATAATTTATAAGTATATATTTTCCCCAATCCTTTAGATCTAATTTTTGGACCGTATTCAATAGTGAAAAATAATAAATAAATAAATACAGTACATTAAAAAACATACCAGATCATGTATGGTTATGCATGTCTGGAATTTCTAAAGCTTTGATAATTAGAGAGTTAATGCTACACAGCAATTTGTTCACTGCTCATTTTGCAAATGTGGAAAGCATCGACACATTCATAACTGTATTTTTCAATGTTTTCGCTTATAGCAAGGGGTAATAACAAAATTAGCGCAATAAAATATGATCCGTCTAATTCGTTTAAATTTGGGCTGATTATTAACCTGCTTAAAATATGATCGGTCTAATCTATTTAAATTTGGGCGGATTATTAACCTGCTTAATTTTCACTATTAGTTTAACGCATAAATTTTGGGTTGATACAAAGTCCAAATTGAACTATGAGAAATTTTGACAGAATATTAAGTATTATTTTTACTTGATATGTTATATATAAATAATATATATATTTTTTAGTTTTATTACGTATTAAAAAAATATATAATAGAATAAATAAATAAACCACAACTGGGTTTAGGTTATGACCCGCTTTTAGCCTATTTCCATTTAAGTATCTTTTGGGCAGATCAATAACATGTTCATTTATTAATTTAGCTCATTTTGATCAGTTCAAATTTAATTCAACTCGCCTATTTGATACCTCTACTAACTTATAGTCCACAAGGAACGAGTTCTTCATTAAATAAAAAAGTACAAAGAAGGAAAAAGAAGGAGGAGGAAGTTGAAGTTAGAGCATCTAACCTTGAAATACAAGATTATGAATATGATTGTGGTTCATTCCTTCAGCCTCAAGCTTTGTCTTATTAATTCCCATTTTATTTATAATAGAATAAAAATGAAACTATTCTGGCCAAATTATCCATTAGTATTAATTTTATCTTCTTTCTTGAGTTACTAATTGATTAAGTCATGTGATCTTGGGTCATTTTCACTTTAAAATAATCACAAGCACATCTTCCTTCTCTATTTGCTGCTTCAAAATATCTTAAAGAATGACTTAATATAAATGTATATCTATGATATTGGGAGGCCGGTATACTAAAGCTCCCGTTATATGCAAGGTTCAGAGAAAGACCCAATCATAAAGGTTTATTATACGCAGCCTTACATTACATTTCTGTAATGTATATATGATAATACGCTAAAAAATCAGACATTTAAACTAGGTGTTTATCGATTTTTTTAAAGATTCTTGCACACCCTTTAAATGAGACACTCAATAATCTTTAATCACAAGAGTACTTGTCTAAATTAAACTATACGTACCTGTTATCTCCTTATACTTAATTGACACTACACTAATTCGAACTACAATGATAGAATTAGGGGAGAAATTACTAGATTTTATTTTTTCTATAACGACAAATATTTCAAAATAAATAGATTCTTGAAACCAGGAGGACTAATAAGGAACTCATTTTTATTTCACACTACAAAAAAAACATAATGTGTAAATTAAAGTTCTTGATGTATGTCACGAACTTTAATTTTATCAAACAACTTTGATTAATTTTCATTATTTAAGATGATATATCAATCAGAATACTCTAGTAGCAATTGAAACTTGAAACACAAACCTTTCTTTAATCAATTACACACGATAGAGTAAACGTTTGGTCCTTAAAGCATAGTTTTACCAACTTTAACAAAAAATTACGAAAATGACGAATATTATTTCTTTAGAAAAAAAAATGGACCACCAAAGAATGTGGTATAGTGGATGAGGTTGCTCTTTTCTTAATTAGAGATCTCAGGTTTCGAGCCTTAGGTATGAAAAAAATCTTTGGTAGAAAGCACTTTCCTCTTAACACGCTGCGAAACCAAAAAAATAAAAATGACAAGACAAATGAAAAAACTCCAGCTAAGAGGAGGTTGTGTGACATGATATTTGTTCATTAATTCCTCTCATCTGCCCCTCCATTCATTTAATTTCTTTGCCCCTCACATTTTACTCTTTAAATTCCCACCAATCTTCCCTTTCTATTGTCTTAGCTACAATCAAACAATTTCCCTCCTTACTTTCTAAAAAAAAAAATTCTCTCAATTTTTTTTTGTTTGTGAAAATGCCAGAACCAGTCCCAAATTTCTCTAACTCTGTTAAGCTGAAATATGTGAAACTTGGTTACCAATACCTTGTTAATAATTTTCTTACTTTCTTGATTGTTCCCATAATGGCTGCTCTCATTATTCAGGTACTAAAATTAGGCCCTGAAGAAATTCTAAGTATTTGGAATTCACTTCACTTTGATCTCCTCCAAATCCTCTGTTCTTCATTCCTCATCATTTTCATAGCCACAGTTTACTTCATGTCAAAACCAAGATCCATTTACTTAGTAGATTACTCATGTTACAAAGCCCCTGTTACATGCAGAGTACCCTTTTCAACTTTCATGGAACATTCGCGTTTAATCTTGAAAGACAATCCAAAAAGTGTTGAATTTCAAATGCGTATTCTTGAAAGGTCAGGTCTTGGTGAAGAAACATGTTTGCCACCAGCAATTCATTATATCCCTCCAACACCAACAATGGAAACTGCTAGAAATGAAGCTGAAGTTGTTATATTCTCTGCTATTGATGACTTGATGCAGAAAACAGGACTTAAGCCTAAAGATATCGATATTCTTATCGTTAACTGTAGCTTGTTTTCTCCAACTCCATCTTTATCTGCTATGGTTGTTAATAAGTACAAGTTGAGAAGTAACATAAAAAGTTACAATCTTTCTGGTATGGGATGTAGTGCTGGTTTAATTTCAATTGATTTGGCTAGAGATCTTCTTCAAGTTGTACCAAATTCATGTGCTTTAGTTGTAAGTACTGAAATTATCACTCCTAATTATTATCAAGGCTCAGAAAGAGCAATGTTACTTCCAAATTGTTTGTTCAGAATGGGTGGTGCTGCTATACTTTTGTCTAACAAGAGAAAAGATAGTAGAAGAGCTAAGTACAGATTAATGCATGTGGTGAGAACACATAAAGGTGCTGATGATAAGGCATTTAAATGTGTTTTTCAACAAGAAGATCCACAAGGAAAAGTTGGTATTAATCTATCAAAAGATCTTATGGTTATAGCAGGGGAAGCTTTGAAATCGAATATTACTACTATTGGTCCGTTGGTTCTTCCAGCATCAGAGCAGCTTCTTTTCTTGTTCACTCTTATTGGAAGGAAGATTTTTAATCCCAAATGGAAAGCTTATATTCCTGATTTCAAACAAGCGTTCGAACATTTTTGCATCCATGCTGGTGGAAGAGCTGTTATTGATGAGCTTCAGAAGAATCTTCAGTTATCTGCTGAACATGTTGAGGCTTCAAGAATGACTCTGCACAAATTTGGTAACCACACTCTTCACTTTATTATATTATGTTTCAACACGTCCCCTCACAAGTATATATGTCGTAATATTTTGAGTTTATTGCTTTTGGATACTTAAAATGACAACTTAAAATATCTAGGATAAAGCCAGAGGCGAATCTAGGATTTTTCGAATATGGGTGCACCAAGAAAAATGTATTAAGTGGGAATTGATCCTCAGTCCTCAAAGTCAAAAGCTCAACATTTAACCATGTGGACCAACTATACTTTTTATAGTACGGGTGCAAGAATATAATATTATACAAATGTTAGAAAATATATACATAAAATAGCTAATTTTACGAGGAGATCACGGGTTCAGGTGCCCTATTTTTTGCACCTAAATTCGCCACTGGATAAAGCTACTGGGATCTGTCAAATCTATAAGCAGAACTGTAACTCTACTCCTTGTTTGTCTATGACTGATTCTTTTTCAAGGGCGAATGATCACAACGGTTAGATTTTGAGCGATATGTTTAATTTATTTAATTATATTATGTCTGAACAGGTAACACGTCATCGTCTTCACTATGGTATGAGATGAGTTACATCGAGGCGAAAGGAAGGATGAAAAAAGGTGACAGAATTTGGCAAATAGCATTTGGAAGTGGATTCAAGTGTAACAGTGCAGTTTGGAAGTGTAACCGCACAATCAAGACACCAACTGATGGACCATGGGATGATTGCATTGATAGGTACCCAGTGTTCATCCCAGAGATTGTGAAGCTGTAACTATTTTACATCTTACAAAGTTATTTATTCAAAAATAATAATAAAAGAGGATATTAGGGGTGTTGTTAATTAAACTTCATTAGAAATTAAATGTGTGAGCTCTCAGACACATGGATAATTCAATGTGCTCATCGGGTGGATCATCAGTTTTCTTCTTTGTGGACAGCTGGAAAATGGTAGTTGGTCAAATGTCTGCAACATATATACCATTTGCATTTAGTTATTAGGGTGTTTATTACTGTATGTCCAGTGGAAAAACTGTATAATTATTTATTTTTCTCAACTACTACGAATTTATATCATGTACGCTACCCCCTCCTTTTTAGATCAACAGTTATAATTTGATGAATCGTATACACGAAAATAGAATGATAACTGTTTAATGAATTCATTGAAAGTTGTGCCCTTCTGCATTCTTGAAATTAGTCTTTTATAGTACCATTCATCTAATTTCAAACTTTGATTCGATAGAACGTAAAAATAATGAATTCAGTTGAATATGTCGTTATGTCGCAATGGTAAGGGCGAATGGATTAGCTGGCTAATAGACCATTGTATTCTACTTGCGCTCCATGCAAGTAGCATAGTGTAGTAGTAATAAATACGAGCTATATTTAATTAGGTAGTTTTGTTCTTTATATATTAAATATATGAGCTACGTGGCGGGCAGAACCACTTAACTCTACTTGATTATTGTCATTAATTAATTAACAAATGCTCTCACACGTTGTGAATGGCGCCGGCTAATTAACAAGTAGCTAGGCCAGGTGGCGGTGGAAATGTCATGTGTTTTAATTGATGAAATTTAGTTACGAACGGACAAGTAGAAGATGCTAAATTATTTGCTAAAATTAAGTTTCCATAAAATATAGGGATAAGGGTCTGAAAAATATCTCAACTTTGGTTAAATTTGCTGTTGCGACATTAAACTTTCATGAGGACCTATTACCTCCATAGACTATTTAATACCGTATTTTAAACATATATATTTGCCCACGTGAACATAAAAAATAATGCAAAATTATAAATAGTAATGTGTCCACATGGACACATATATACCTTTAAAATACACTATTAAATAGTTCACAGGGTAAAAAATACGGTATTAAATAGTCCAGGGAGGTAATAGGTCCTCATGAAAGTTTAGTATCGCAACAGCAAATTCGACCAAAGTTGGGATATTTTTCAGACCCTTATCCCTAAAATATATGATTATATTCCTAGAATGTTTTTATGACGTATTATTTGGATCTACTTTTTTTTTTTTGGTTAACTGGATAATATTATTAGCAAAAAAGCTTAAATATCATTACAAAATAAGGAAATAGTATTATTCCCTGTATATATTGTAGCATTGGTTGCTATCAAATTACTATTATGAGTCGAAATTTCCCTTGGATAAGTAGTTCCTAGTATATCTGTCCAAACTGACTCATTTGCGAACATCGGAGGAACTTGCAAAATCCTTGTGCGCTCAAATAATCGCCTATTGGCCCCTTTCTTGGCTAAGAGGTCGGCTACCTTGTTCTGCTCTCTATAGGTATGCGAGATCTTTTCAGATCTCTCAATAGTTGCATCAATGACATGCATTCACAAATTAGAGAGCTATAAGATTCGTGGTCATTGTTAATAAAATTTATTACCTCGATTGAGTCTGTGGAGATTTTAGGCATCAAGTTGTTATCCTTTGCAATCTTAAGTCCCTGCATAAGAGCTAATAATTATGTCAGAGTATTAGTAGTATTTGGAATACCCTTCATGAAGCCTAGTATCCAATCACCTCTATTATTACGTATAACTCCAATACCCCCTACACCGGGATTACCTAAGGAGGAACCATCAATATTGAGTTTATAATGGCCAAGTAATGGAGGTTCCCACTTTAGGTTAATAGTATGCTTAATAGCAACATCTTTCTTAGCAATTAAAAGAGCATATTCAGTAGCTTTTGCGATGGTATCATGAGTATTTATGGGAGCCTTCTTCTTATTAAAGAGATTGTCATTTCTAGTTAACAAAATATGTCATAAGCAAAATGGAATTAGTTCTTTCCATGATAAGAAGTTGTTAAATGGATTGTTCTTAATTAGATTCCAGGTGTTGCACCATTCATCAGAAGAAAAGATGATATTGTTGAGTAGAGTGGGATTAGAGCTATTCTGGATGATTGTGTTCCAAAACAACTTTACATTACAACAATCAGAAATTATATGATTGATGGTTTCATTTACAGTCTCGCAAAATGTGGAAACGGGAGACATATTCATGCCAATAAGGTTAAGATATTGGTTAGTAGGTAATTTGTTGTGGTGGAGGAGCCAAATGAAGAACTTAATTTTCCAAATCCAATTGAAGTTTTTGTTACTATTGTGAACAGTGCTATTCTCGTTCGAGTCCAAGAACGTGTAAACAAATTTCATTTCTCTTCTCTCTATTGTTTTCAAGTTCTTGTTTGGATTGAGGATATATGACATATTGTTAAAATTAATGGATAAAATTTAATTGACTAAAAAAAGATATTAACCATGATTTAGATCATTAATATTTTATATATTTGTTTTCAAGAATTTTAGTAACCCCGGAATAAGAGTTGCATATTATCTTGTTCATAAATTTTAAATTTTTTCCCCTATCCATACTTTTTTTCCTTGCTCTATATATATCTTTCATTTTTAGTTTTATTTTTGAATTGATAAAGTCTATATTTTAATTCCCTTGTGAGTTAATATTTTGAAATGGGGAAAAGAAAAGATGAAGAAAAATGTTATAAGAAAGAAGTTCATTGTTGATGTATGGAGAAAATGTGGTATCGTATAAATTAATTTTGTCGAAGAAAAGGTAACGATGTTTTTTCATTTTTTGAAAAAAAAGAAAAGGAATTGGTTATCTAAATCTTGAATAGAGTCTTTTTTAGTCAATTAAATTTTTGATTGTTCATTTAACTTATGTCATGTATTTTCAATCTAAATAAGAACTTGAAAAAAAATAAAGAGTAGAGAAATGAAGAGAAGCTCCATCGATCCATATTTTTTACTCTAATATATGTTTTGTTTATGATACGAAAAATCGCGTAAAGATATATACTATTCGTCTTAATTATACAAAATACTACTTTCACCATTCATGTTTGACTTGATTGACACATTTCTTAAACATCAATAAACAAAAGATAATTTTACTATATCATTCCTATTTACAATAAGTCATCTAATTATTGAAGAGTGATTTAAAAATGATTAGTACTTAATAGTAAATTATTTCTTGTAGACACTTTTATTTTGTTGAAAATAGTTGTTTGAAATGATGAAATGGCAATTTATATCATATCTAATTTGCTAAAAGATACTAAAGTGGCTATTACCAAATTTACATCTCTTTTTATGGGAAATCAAATCTCAAATGGTTCTTACTTAAGGCTTTTAGCCTGCTGAATAGCCCATTTTCTAAACTCTTGATGGACTGACCCAAGCTTATTACAGGCCCAATATATTTGCTATCAAAATTCACAATTTGAAGAATTTGGTCCTAGAGACTCACCTGAATTACCCTTCGGCTGATTCGGCTCCATTTGCTACTTTTTATTTGTCTATTTTGAACTTTGCACGTTTCATAAGACGTAATGTTATCAATATGGATATTTTATCACAATATTATATCAATTGATGTATAATCTTAAGCCATGAACAATGAGTTGAGAAATAATTAATTAATGTTAAAAGTAAAACAAGAAAAAAATAATTATCTTTGATTTCTTGATATGTGAAATCTGACAGTAAAAATTAAAAATTATTTTAAAATATTGGACAAGTAAAAGTTAACAGAAAGAGTAATATTAAAACTTGCATCCTAATGACTTGATGACTAAACACCCTCTACGTATAACTCAAAGGTTGTAAATTCGAGAAGCAAAAGGTGTGAACAGAAGAGGTAAAAAAAAAAAAACTATAAAATAGTGGACTAAATTGAAGTCATATATTATGAAAATTTTATTACATTATTAGTAGAGAAAAGTCAAATACTTTAATTAATTTGCTATAATAGATAGTCCATCCGTTTCTCGATAAATCTATCATAATGTTGTTAATTCCTTTTTATATACTTTTGAAAATGTGTATCATAACATTGAAAACATCTTAATTAACGACTCTTTTCTCTCGTTTTCAATCCCTCTTTCCGTCTTTGATGACATCTTTTCACCATCTTAACTTTCTTACCCCCAAAAAATCTTCAGTATCCATCATGCATTTCTACATCTATATTCTTTTTATCACTAAAGTTAACTCTTCTTTTACTTTACTCTTAGTGTCATTTAATTTTATTTTTTTTGTTATATATATATGGGCAACAAAAAAGAATCGAATCACGAGTATCTATTATATACCGTCCTATCTTATATTTCTTTAAAAGACTTATTTACACAATTTGAATTTACAACTTCTTAATTACATGATGCAACTTTACCTGTTATTATGCACCATGTAAAGTAAAAAAAATAAAAAAAATCCATTCCCTCTCTTTTTTTTTCCTTGAACATCGACTCACTTTCTTTTTTTTTCTTAATTATTCAAGAGTGGAAAGCTCATTGATCAGAAAGTATACCTATCGAAAAAGAAATCGCTTTCTATTGAGAAGTTTTTCATTTTCAAAGTTGAATCAGATTATCAAAGACTTTAATTAAAAGTGCATTAGAAGTACTTTCGGCTATATATCCCACCACAACCTTTAGTGGTAACTGACCTACAATCTACATGCATTTATGCATATATGGAACATATTCAGAATTAATGTGAACATATCTAAATTATAAAATGTGAACATATTGCATGAGCTAACTTATAAAATGTGAACATATCTAAAATAATTTTGACTCTTTTGGTATCTGTACGGATTGTTATGATCAATTTAGTGAGACTCATCAATGTGTTTTGCATGGTTTAAATAACTAATTGAGGTCTAGAGGTGATGGTCTGAATTTTCCTCGAACCTTTCGGCTTTCGGTTATCCTTTTAATAAATATTTTAATTCATTTTATTC